ATTTTATTTAAATTTTTTAGAAAATAAAATTTGGTTATTATAATTTTTTATTTTTCATTTCAATTAAGCCTTAAAATATTCAACATTTTACCATATTACAATACAATATAATGCAAATTAATTAATCATATTTAACAGCTCTATAGCTATATCTACCATCAGCATAAGTGTCCACAACAAGAACTTGACCAACATTGATTTTTTGCCGCCGACCAGTATATCCCAACCAATATTTGTCATAAAGTCGTCCGGGAGTCGCATAAAACACTAGGTTATTGGTGTTTACTGTAAGACCATTACAAGTGACCTCGGCTGTTTTTGACCCGGATGTTTCAATCGTGCCAATTCGCAATGCACTGTCATCGCTGCTGTTGCAAATGAACACGGTGGCCCATTGTAAAGTCGTGTTGACAATTGGCGTAACGGCTACCAAAAAGTAAATTTACAAATTGCATTCTTTTACAAAATTACACTAGGTTTTAAAATCAATCTGCCTTGTCTAATTGTATGATATAATTAATTTAACTCACCAACATTGTACGGCATTCCAGGTGGGCTTACTGAAATGAAAAATAAAAAATTATAATAACCAAATTTTATTTTCTAAAAAATTTAAATAAAATATACTGTACCTCCTGCATCTTGGGCATAAACGTATGCCATTAAGGGCAAACATAAAATCAATTTAATCATTCTAGTATTTGATATATTATTTTACAAACTATGACATAATTGTGTAAATTTTAGACCTAATATAGCCTTTTAAAATCACAATTCAACATAGAACTAGTAGTTTATACTATTATATTACTAAAATTCCACATCTTTATTTAAATTAACACAACTAAATAAAGAGCGAGTTTGATTTTAAACATACTGCATGTGTAAAACTTATATCAATATACAAGAGATTAGATTTTAGTCTATGAAATATTATATAATCATACAAATATTAAGAAATACTAGATAAGTGTCTTACAAACATTGTCTATTAATAAATTTGCTTCCAACCTTGTTTTGGCTACAAATTTATAATTTTAAATTTTTCAATAGGACCTATTTGATCTACATCTGTTCTAACATTAGTTAACTATTGTTGTTAAATTATTGTTTAAAAATTAAATAAGTGTGCAAAAAAATTTTAAACACTTGTTTGAAAACAATTATAACAACAATGCATTGATATTTCAATTAATCGAGTTTAAAAAATTATTTGTAAAATATAATTATTATTGTTACTTATTAACTATTGTTAACCCTATACGCGTATTTTGGGTGATTAGTAACCCAGAGCAACTTTGAAAATCAATTAAAAATCAGCGGTTTATGCTATTATAAAATAAACTCAGTTATGCCTCGGAAACATTATTTATTATAAATACAGAAAATTTTAGATTTTTAAATTTAATTTATCATATTTTAATTAACAATTAGGTAATTAAAATCCCATAAGACGCGTAACGTAAGTTTTAATACTGTAGTATAAACAGTGCTAATCATTGTAGGTGTTTTGCTCGCGCATGACGCTGTGACTGGGACACAAATCTCCCACTGTGCACGATAAGTAGTAAATTTACCGTTTGTAAACAAAACTACACTCACATGATTTCACGCATGACCATTAAACATGATTGGTATTGGCTTAATACAAGTTACTCAATTTGATCATTACAGATATTTTTTTATTAATGAAAATACATATAATTAAAAATTATATTTTGTAACAATGCAACTATTACAAATACAAAAATGTACAAAAGATTTAATATAGTAGCCCGGTTATACAGCAAATATATTGTATAAAAACATTGTATATGGTATATAATGTACATTAGTACAGTATACGCTATGTGCAAAACAAGTAACAGGTTATGTATTTATTTTATTCGTATAACTCCAATATTATATTAATTATCGATAATACTATAATAGAAGTTGATAAAATAATATAAATTTAATTATAATAGTAAACTAGTTTATTTTATAAAATGATGTTTGAATTACGGGGGAATAATGAAACAATTAAATGTTTATTTAATAAAACGCAATCATATGCAACAACACCTATTACTGATTCTACAAACATACTTACTGCTGGGTTATAATTCTCCCACTGTACACAGTTGAGCATATATGGGAGATTAAACTCCCAATTTACACACTACACTGCTGGGTGATTTAAATCCCATGATAATCGCAACGTTCATAATGTATGCAGACGCTTATAGGGTTAATAACTAATTAATTATTGTTAGTAATAAGTTATTAGATAATTGAATATAAACAAAATAATTTACTACATCAGACACAGTTTATTAACTTATGTACATGTAATCTCACTTTCCCCAATTAAAAGTTAATAAAATAAAAATTTTCAAAACTGCTAATTGTATTAGAGATTTGCCTTGTTATTACATTGATGTACTCAAGTTTTCAGTACATTGCACAGCATAGAGAAAAATAATACTTTTTTGTATATTTCATTTATCCGTAATTGATTGACGTGAATTTTAATAAAAAATATTTTAACCATTTTTAATGTAATTAAACTAATTGTAAGTTAATCCTTGGAAAAAATTTTAAACAAAACCTATAATTTATTAGATTTAAACATTTACATAATATGAATACATAATCTGAGCTGTATTTTTTAAATGATTATTATTTATTAGTTGTAGACTCTAATGTTAAAACTAATTGAATTTCATAGCAATTGATATAGAAATCATAAAACTAATGATTTAAGTTTATTTCACGCGTTGATTCAATGGTTAACTAATTATAAGTTATATACAAAGTCATTTGTTTTAATTTCTATTAATATATATAAAGTTGTGCACACAAATCAATTGCAATAATCATGTAAATAAATATTTAAAAACTTTACAAAACTTACTGTTAATATAAAACAATCAATAAATTTGTATAATATTTCGTGATATGTCTTTGAGAAATATTATGTTTTGTATTTAAAAATTGTAATAATGTTTTGGAAAAAACTTTCATCAAAAGGAAAAGCCGTTTTGATTACTGGTATATTATAAATAGTTTTGTTTTGATCTAAATCTTTATTGTCTTTGTTAGCTGATATACCGTATGTTAATATATTATCAAACATATATAGTTACTACTAATAATATACTTTATTATAATAAAATGTAATTCTCTAATTTAATTAATAAACAAAAATTGATGATATTTTAAAAAATAGGCTGCGATTCTGGTTTTGGCAATCGTTTGGCTTTCAGGTTAAACTCAATGGAATTTCGAGTCTATGCGTGTGTTTTGGACACAAACAGTACCGGAGCTCAGGATTTGAGCAATAAATGCCAGTTTAAGGACGAGATATGTATTGTGCGAATGGATGTCACTATCGATGAGGACATCAATCGGTGCCACGAGTTTGTTGTCGCGGATCTACAGACCAGTGGTCGTGTGTTGTGGTCAGTGGTCAACAACGCCGGTGTTATGACATACGGGCACTTAGAATGGGGTAAATTTTCCCAATACACTAAAGTGTTTGATGTGAACGTGTTTGGTGTGGTTCGGGTGACCAGAAAATTCATACCACTTATACGAGAGTCAAAAGGTTTGTCATCTATAAAAAATTATAGTCTTTCTACAGCATATCATGCAATATAAGTTTTATTTAGACTTTTTATCTTAAATAAAATTTAAAAATTTAATTTATAAAATATAAATAAAAATTTAACTAAAACAAATCAATAAGATAAACTAAAATATAATTTAATATACCTAGGTCGCTTAGTGTTCACAACCTCTCAGGCGGGTCGAGTGGCGTTAGACAATCTCGGCGTGTATTGTATGTCCAAAGCGGCGATCATAGCGTTCACTGATGTTTTGCGGCGAGAGATGCGACCCTTTGGGGTACGGGTGTCAAACATAGAGCCCATGCTTTTCAAGACAGTTATGGTTACTTTGGTTAAACATGAGTTCAACAAGAATTGGTCCGAAACGGACGGTGCGATACGCGATGTCTACGGCGAGGCCTACGCCCAGCGCCAGATTAAAGTATTTGACTTTATAATGTCTATGGCTATGGCTAATGGAAATCTTGATATCGTTGTCGACGATATGGTTGACGCGGTGGCCAGTCGTCGGCCCAATAAATACTATAGACCTGTACATCGGTGGTGGCTCCACGGCTATCACCGTATGGCTCGTATAACACCCCAATGGTTTACCGACCATATTTTCTATACACTCAATTCAAAGAAACCTGCGTTTATGGAAAATAATAATAATATATAAAATGAGTTTGAGTAAGCACATTTTGTATAATGTTATAATACAAATAATATTACATTTATTATTTTATTTACATTGTTATTTTAGTTAAGTAAAATTAAAAATATTATGGTGATTGGTCAATATTATAAGAGTATTAATAAATGTAAACTAATTTTAATAAAAATAGATTTATAATTTACAAATTAATAAATAGTAAAATTATTCAAATGTCTGAACAAATTAAGCGACTATAAAATGTATTATATTTATATCAATATTGTTATAAATGCATAAGAATTTCGATTTATTAATATAATAAAATTTTATTAATAAAAAAATTGATAAAATTACATAATAACTTTGGAGCAGTATACTTAATGTAGTAATTATAAGTTCAAGATATAATACATAATTTATAAAATACAATTACAATTTAAAAAATAACATAATAAGTTAGTGTTTTCTATTAACCAAAATTAACTTTCTATTTATTACAGAATTTTGAAAAAATTATTTCTTTAAATAAGGATATCATTTAAATTAATATTAAAAATTATTTCGTGGCTTAAAAATGTTTGGGAAGTTTTAGGTGATCTTCAAGTCGGACCAACTCTTCACTCAATTGCCACAACTGTTCCGCACTTTTATCGTCAGTAGCCGTCGACACCATTGCATCCACTCGTCGACAATTGCTATACATTTATATCAAAATTAATAATTAAATATATAAAAATAAAACACACAATGAAAAGCAAAACTAAAAACTCACTCATAATAAAAACCCGACTCGTTATCCAACTTCTCTTCGAGGGCGCAGTACAGCGATGTCTGACATCCCCTCTCAATAGACAACCCAAACAACTGACCGATAAGTCGGCCCAAAGTTCTCAGTGCCGGGGATTGTATATTCCGGTGCCAATCGGTCTGAACCGCTCCGGGATGTAGCGAATAGGCTGTGACCGTAGTGTCCCGACCCAGTCTACGGGCCAACTCTCTAGTAAACAACACGTTGGCCAGTTTGCTCTGGGCGTACGCATCCTTGGCATTGTAAGCCCCGTTCCGGAGGTTTATGTTTTGCAGATTCATTTTGCCGAATGCATGCATACCTGACGATACGTTTATTATCCGGGCTTTCGGGGCGTTTCGCAGTAATGGCAACACTGATAGTGTGAGCAGATAGTGGCCTAAAGTGCACACCAAAAAAACTGTAGTTAATATAATTTTTCATATACATTAGTGTTCAAAATATATTATTAAATACCCAAATGGTTGGTCCCGATTGTCATTTCAAACCCATCCTCAGTCTTGGTTTCGGGTATAAAACCAATGCCCGCATTGTTTATAAGTATATCTACTTTTGTCTCCCGTTTCGTGATTTCGGTCACGAATTGACGAACGGATTGAAGTGAAGACAAGTCTAACGGAAGTGAATATATGTCTGCCTTTGGGTTCCTTTGCTTTATATCTTTGATCNAATTGACGAACGGATTGAAGTGAAGACAAGTCTAACGGAAGTGAATATATGTCTGCCTTTGGGTTCCTTTGCTTTATATCTTTGATCGCATTCTCGGCTCGACTCTCATCACGACATCCAATGATTATCTATTAATTAATAAGTAAATAATAATTGTCGTTAATTGTCGTTAAATATTATTATTAATAATAAATATATAGTTTACAACTTAAAATATACACGTTACTTATATTATAAATAATTTTAAGCATGTATAAACTTAATTATTTATTTAATATTAATTAAATATACACTGAATACAAACCTTTGCGCCCCAAAGTGAAAGGCGATAAGCGGTCTCTTTCCCAATGCCCTGATTGGCGCCCGTAATCACCACAACGTGTCCGTCCAGACGGCGCTCACTTCGGCACCGGTTTCTTAATCGCAACACATTTCCCAACACTTCCGCCAATAAACCCAAATATGAACCAATATTTTCTGTAAATGTCGGCATTTTTTTCATAAAAATACTTTTCTAAAAATTATAAAATACTTTTTACAATAAATATGTAGTCTATAAATAACAATATTTAATTTAATGGTAAACAATGTTTTATTAATATATTCATATTTTGCATTTGTTTATATACACGGCTAAATTCATGCGCAAATTCAATGCATTATGGTTTGTAAAAAGTACATATTGAGTGCTTTTTGTCTAACTTCAAAACACAACAATATAACAACTTTTGTACTAAATTTTAGTGCATTTTTCCATTAAATGACATTGGAAATTAATGATATTGTAATATATGTAATATTGTATACATGTATATTTGATGTGCGAGTGTTAGAGAGAGAGAGAGAGAGAGAGAGTGATTTGAAATTTTTAATTTTAATTAAGGTAATTCCTTTTATAATATGACTAGAATAACCTTGCCCGGGTAGATGTATGAATATTTTCAACTTTTACCGTTGAAATCCTTTCATAACCCTATTGTACTAGATTTTATATTAATTAATGAATCTACTTTATTTACATGATTTATAAAAATATAACTTATTGCACTAATTAATTGCACTAATTATTATAGACAAAAAAATAAAACAATTGTTAAATAAAATATTTAAATTAAAAAAATATAATTTAATGTTTAGTTTTAATAAATATTTATTGATATTATTACTCGATTAATTGCAAATTTAATTGTTTAAATGTTAAAATAAATTAAAATTATCTGCAAATTGTATATAGATTGTAATTTAGATATCAATATTAATTAATACAGAATATCCATGTGTTTGACGTAAATTTTGTCGTATATATGGTAAACCTATATAAAATAATTTTATTAAATGGTTGTAAAATGAACAAAAAAAAACTTTTTGTTTCAATCATAAATAATATTATAAATATATAATCATTAATATTTGTTTTCAGTAAAAGAATACTTATATTTGTTTTAAAATCTCTTTAAAGTTAAAATTTTCTATGAATTTAATTTAATCAGTTATTTGAAAATTGTGTTACAAAATTATTTTACAATTATTTGTTATTAATTTTAAATATAAAGAATTATTAGTAAAATAGTATTTTTATAAATTAACTAGTATGTTTTGTAGTAAAATACATTCAAACGAGAGAGCAGTTTTAATTACAGGTCATTACAATCATTTACTTTGAATATTCATATTTCAATTATTATTTTGTAATAACCAAAAATTAAATATAAAATTAAAATATAACAATTATATTTTTTAATCAAAGATTAAATCAGAAATATCTAAAAATTAATTGTCATAAAATAGGTTGCGATTCGGGTTTTGGCAATCGTTTGGCTTTCAGGTTAAACTCAAAGGGGTTTCGAGTCTATGCGTGTGTTTTGGACACAAACAGTACCGGAGCTCAGGATCTGAGCAATAAATGCCAGTTTAAGGACGAGATATGTATTGTGCGAATGGATGTCACTATAGATGAGGACATCGATCGGTGCCACAAGTTTGTTGTCGCGGATCTACAGACCAGTGGCCGTGTGTTGTGGTCAGTGGTCAACAACGCCGGTGTTATGACATACGGGCACTTAGAATGGGGTAAATTTTCGCAATACACTAAAGTGTTTGATGTGAACGTGTTTGGTGTGGTTCGGGTGACCAGAAAATTCATACCACTTATACGAGAGTCAAAAGGTATGTCATTTTCATGATTTCGTATTACTTGAAACATTATAAACATATTGTTTTAAATATATTAATTTGAATTACATTTAATGTACAATTTTTAATTTTTAAAACAAACTTTAAATTAGATTTTTTTTTACAAAAATAACAAAAAATTTAAATATGATAACTATTATTAAAAACAACCAGAGTCTTGTATTACTAATACCCAAAATCCAGTAAAAGTTAACAAATATTAAACTCATTAAATATTTTAAAAAACAATTTACAGCTCGTATATTTTTTTAAATATTCATTTATTATAATTAAATAATTACATAATTATAAACATTTTTATATAAAATACTTTAATTACATTAATTGTCAAACCTTTACAAAACTAAAATGTTATGTTATAGTGCGACAATAATTTAATGTAATAGAAAATTATTGTGATTCTTCAATATATAATGTACAGTAATGAAAGTTTTATTTAGGCTTAGTTTTTAGCTTTTTTAATCTTATATACAATTATAAATATTTAACTAATTATATAAAGATATATAACTTAACTAAATCAATAAAGTAAATAAAAATATAATTCACCTAGGCCGGTTAGTGTTTACCACGGCTCAGGCGGGTCGAGTGGCGTACGACAATCTCGGCGTGTATTGTATGTCCAAAGCGGCGATCATAGCGTTCACCGATGTTTTGCGGCGAGAGATGCGACCCTTTGGGGTCCGGGTGTCGACCGTTGAGCCCCTCATATTCAAGACAGTTATGGTTGGTTTGGGTGAACATGAGATCAGCAGGAATTGGTCCGAAACGGATCTACCGGTGCGGGAAGTCTACGGCCAGGCCTACTACGAGCGCCAGATTAAAATTGTCAACTTTTTATTGCTGATTACACGGCCTAATGGAAATTTGGATATCGTTGCCGACGATATGGTGGACGCTGTGGCCAGTCGTCGGCCCAATAAGTACTATACACCTGTAAATCAGTGGTGGCTTCACGGCTATCACCGTCTACTTCGCATAACACCGCAATGTTTTATCGACTATTTGTTTAATAAGCTTAATTCAACAAAACCTGCTTCGATGCAGCATAATAATAATGTTTAAGATGATTTTTATCAAATAATTTGTTGTAATAAAGATAAATGCCTATAAGAGCGGAATCACTTGATCCCGTATAAAATTTAAAATAATTGATGGATTTATCTCAAATAAATTTTATTATAATTATTGATATTCTGAGAAAAAGTTGATAAAATTTCATTAATTTACCTTTACTTGTTCGTCAGATATAAATTCATAACTGTACTAAAATTTACCCGTGTTTTCACACTACACCAGATTTCGGTAAAAATAGCAAAAGAAATCTTTTTAAATAAATATTTCGATTATATATTCATCATAAAATCATTTTAATGGTTTAGTTGAACAATAAAAACATATTTTTATCAACTCAAATTAATTTTCTTAACCATACATAATCGCCATTTTTGATAGGTTTTACCGATTTATAAGTTCGGGACCGATTGGGATCAGGTTGGCCAGGTCTGATCAAGCTAAAACTTTCCAAAATTGTTATCATATATGGGTAGAATAGTTTAATCAATTAAAGTTTAGATAAATTTATCGGGAACAGTACTTGGCCAAGTGAGTTCCGACGGTGACTTTCCGGGACTTTTTGGGGCCTAAAATTGCGGTCTTTGAGCGATTAGAAATATTTTATTACAATAGACTGTTTGAGAAACAAATTAACTGATGTAACTAGTGTTTAGTGTTCGTTGTCCTAATATAAACAATACAAAATAGATTATTTTATTGGCATGGTTATTTTTGTTTAGAAAATTCTTCTGGTTTGATACCATTTACGGATTAATTGTCCACAATTTGTTTTTTAACTTAATTACGGCTGAGAGAGTAGTCTTAGTGCTCTCTCAGACCTGTCCACTGAGATGGGGCAACGATGTTGTGTGACTGACACATAAAAATTGTTACCCAGAATATAAAATTAATTATAAATTTATTAAGATGTCTTTAATGAAAATCAACATTAATTGAATGCACGGTTTCTATAAATAACCTTGGTTATTTTCAGGTTCATCTAGATATTATTTTATTTAAATAGTTATTTTTATAAAAGAAAATTTAATAAATTGATTGCCAAATAAAATATATGCATATGAAATAATTATGTTTTAATAGATATTATTTTAATTTAAAATTTAATTAATGCACATCACGAAATTCTTATATCTTGAATAAATTAAATTAAACTAAAATGTCAATATATATTGTAATTCAGTTAATAATGTCGTATTTAAAATTTAAAATAATATATTTTATTGCACATTTTGTAAAACCGGTTGTTTATAAAGTTGCTAAACAAAACAATGTGAATAAAAATTATTAATTTTTCAATGAATTTAAGTTTAAGTTTCAATGATTCAAATAATAGTCAATAATTTCCTTGTAATGAAAGTATTTGAGTTTTTATTATATATATCGTTGTCTAGATTTTATGTAATTTAAAATTAATACGTATTAATTTATATTGTTGTTTAAAATACATGGTAAAAGTTATTATGTTTTGGAAAAAAATATTATCAAAAGGGAAAGCAGTTTTAATTACAGGTAAATTATTGTTATAAATTATATATACAGTATATTAAAATATAATTATTAATTACACTGTTTTTAAAATAAATAAAAATAAAACATTATTATAAAATAGGCTGTGATTCTGGTTTCGGTAATCGTTTGGCATTTAGGTTAAACTCAAAGGGATTTCGAGTCTATGCGTGTGTTTTGGATACAGAGAGTACCGGAGCTCAGGATCTGAGCAATAAATGTAAGTTTAAGGACGAGATATGTATTGTGCGAATGGATGTCACTATAGGTGAGGACATCGATCGGTGCCACGAGTTTGTTGTCGCGGATCTAAAGACCAGTGGCCGCGTGTTGTGGTCAGTGGTCAACAACGCCGGTGTTGCGACATACGGGCACTTAGAATGGGGTGACTTTTCACAGTACACTAAATTGTTTGATGTAAACGTGTTTGGTGTGGTTCGGGTGACCAGAAAATTCATACCACTTATACGCCAATCAAAGGGTATGTCATTTGTAAAGTTTGATAAATGTGTTTTTATTTCTACTTGTAACTTTATTTTTAATCCCTTATTGTGGTTTATTGAATTACCTCACTTTTTTAATTTATTACATTAGAAAATAACATGTTTAATTATTACTTAATTTAATAACTATCAGGCTATAAATTTAATATAACATTGCTATATTACTATTTATTATAATATAATTTATACAACTTAATTTAACAATATTATAAAAATAAACAATGATATATTCTAAAATGCATTTAAAATGTATAAAATTCATTATTGTTTATTATTAAGGTCGATTTGTAATCACGGCTAGTATGGGCGGTCGCATTGCTATAGATAATCTCGGTATATATTGTATGACCAAATCGGCGATCATAGCGTTCAGCGATGTATTGCGCCGAGAGATGCGACCCTTTGGGGTCCGGGTGTCGACCGTAGAGCCCATGCTATTCAAGACAGCTATGTATGACATCGTGAAGCCGGAGCTCAACAAAAATTGGTCCCAAACGGAGGGTCAGGTGCGGGAGGCCTACGGACAGCCATACTTTGAGCAACAGTTTAAAACCGTTGACTTTCTACTGACAATAGCGATGGGCAGTAAAAAGCTAGACATTGTTGTGGACGATATGGTGGCGGCTATTGTCAGCCGTCTGCCCAACCGGTGCTATCAACCGGCCAATCGGTGGCTGTTTAATGTATTTCCTACCTTAGTCTATTTAGCACCTCAATGGACTATTGATCTGATTTTCAATTCATTTCAAACAACAAAACCCGCATATGTTGTGCAAAAAGCGGAATAAATTAAGCATAATAATGTATAATTAATTAACTTTATGTTAAAATTTTAAGCGTTTTTATCAATCAAATACAAATTTTATATAAACTATTCACAATCATATAAACAAATATAAATTTATTGTTTAATAATAAGATATGCTCATAGTAAAGATCAAAGTGAAATAAATTGCTTAATAAAATCATTAATGTTGCGCAATGTTCAGTGTTAATTATTGTCAATTTATAGACATAAACCAAAATAAATTTATAACAATTACATACATTGAAATACTGTATTTATTTTACATGACTGCATCTAATGTTTGCCATATTTGGGAAGTCTTAAGTGGACTTCAAGTCGGACCAACTCTTGGCTCAATTGCCACAACTGTTCCGCACTTTTATCGTCAGTAGCCGTCGACACCATATCATCCACTCGTTGACAATTGCTATATAATTAAATCATAATTAATTACAATAAAAACAATTAAACGCTCCGTTAATTAAAACACAATTACAATATTAACCTGTAATAAAAACCTGACTCATTATCCAACGCCTCCTCGAGGGCGCAGTAGAGGGTTGTCTGACAGCCCCTCTCGACCGACAACTGAAACGGCTTTCCGATCACATGTAACCCAAATGCCAACAATCGTGAGCCGCTATTACGGTCCCAATCGGTGGCCACCGCTCCGGGATGTAGACTATAGGCTGTCACTGTGCTGTGATAGCCCAGTCGACGGGCCAACTCCCTGGTGAACAACACGTTGGCCAGTTTGCTCTGCGTATAACCCGTGAGTGGATTGTAGGCACCGGCAGTCCGTAGGTTGATATCGTTAAAGTGAATCTCTCCTAACCGGTGGACAATTGACGACAGGGTAACTACTCGTGCTTTGATTGGCTTTCTTAGCAACGGTAATAGCGATAAGGTTAATAGGAAATGACCTGAAAATGTTATCAAGGTGGCTTTTAAATTTATTTAATGTGGGTAATATTAAGCTGTTTTGTACCCAGATGATTTGTCCCAAATTGCAGTTCATAGCCATCGATGGTCTGAGACTCCGGTACCAGACAAACGCCCGCATTGTTTATAAGTATATCTACTTTTGTCTCCCGTTTCGTGATTTCGGTCACGAATTGACGGACGGATTGAAGTGAAGACAAGTCTAACGGAAGTGAATATATGTTTGCCTTTGGGTTCCTTTGCTTTATGTCTTTAATAGCATTTATGGCTTTCATTACATCACGACATCCAATGATTACCTCATTATTAATAAATAAATAAAATAATTAAATACTTAAATAAAAAATCAAATTATATTTATAGTTAGGATTAATGAGAGTTAAATGTGGTTAATAAATAAAATTATAAATATTATTATAATTATAAATGTCATGTAAACAATTTGATACATACTTTAGCCCCACGTATACTCATTTGATATGCGGTCTCTTTGCCGATCCCAGCGTTAGCTCCGGTGATGACCACAAGCAGGCCATCCAAACGCCTGTTTCCCTCGTATTTATTTGTCAATCTGAAAATATTTAGAGTAAATTCTTTTGTAAATTTCCAACCAATATCAATTAAATTCCACAATTTCATTCTGTTAATACAAAATTTATAATTTCTTATTTAATTGTATTTACAACTTATATTTATATTTGTAAATTATACGTATAACTAATATGTAATTTATTTTTTACTTTATATTTATAGTGCATCAAAATATTATTGATTATGTTTTTAAAAATATTCATTAGATTTCTTAATAACTAAATCAATATTTTTATTTGAATAATTGTGTTCGTGATAGTTTTAAATATTTATAATAATATTATTCTTATAAATATATTGATTGTTCTAAAGATATATGTATTTCTAAAAAATATATAATTCAATGTTGAAGTTGTTTTAAGAATTACATAAATTATAAAATCAATTATTTATATAATTATATTTATTAATATCATAATCAAACAAATGTATAACGAACATTTTTATGCTAAAAGTATATTATTGCTTAATTAAATACATAAAATATATTTACTTTTATTTTACATTTAATTAATTAAATTTTTAAAGATTTGATATTATTACCAATAATAATTTTGCATCTAACATAATTAAAATATAATACTGAATTATTGTACTTTGTTGTACCAATAAGTTTATATTTGCCCTTTGTAAGCCTTTGATTAATGTTATGTAAAACTAATAAACATTACCAAAAAATCATATGATTTTAAAACATATTCATTGATTTCAGCACTTGTTCTCAGAATAATATATATAATATCAATAGTTTTCAAACTTATATATTAAATATATTAAGATTTTATATAATATGCTTATGTATAAACTTATATATTGTAAAAGTTAAACAAGGTTACATATGAATGGTTAAATAACCTTCATTTATTAACAATATTTAAGTGCAAATTGATAACTACCGTACATAGTGTACATAAATGTATACTAATATTACCACTAACAAAATACTATATATAGCGTTTAAAAAACTATTGTAATTTAATGAATAAATTCTTATTAATAATTATATAATTGTGTTGACATTAAATAAAATATATTCAATTGCAATAAAAAATTACTTTGTTATTTATTTACATAGGTAAACATAAATATATTAGAAACGTGTTTGATTAATATTAACTAGTTTAATCACCTGTTTAACCACAAGTCTAATATTATATAATAATCATGAATTATATTCTCGGATTTTACCAATTATTAAGTGAATTGTTTTCAATTTGGTTTAATTTGAGACAACGAGTGAATAATAGTAAACGACTCGACGGACAGGTAGTGGTCATTACCGGCGGAAACACCGGTATAGGGAAAGAGACAGCATTTCAATTGTCTCTGAGGGGCGCAAAAGTAATATAAATATTTAATTATTAACTATGCCATACATATTTTAATTGTATTTGAATGATGAATAATGAAATTATCATAATGCTCAGGGTATATGCTCTGAAACAAATTGAATAACAATTATTATTAAAACTTTTCAGAGCGTTCATAAAAGTTAAAAATATAGAAACAGATAAAACAGTACCAGTAGCTAGAATAACCTAACAAATATTAAACTCATTTAATATTTTGAAAAACAATTTACAGCTTGTCTAATTTTACATTTAAACTCATTATAATTAAATATTATAAATTTAATTTATAATACTTTAATTACACTAATTAACAAACTTTACAAAACTAAATTGGTCGACTAATCCCAAGCAATTAATATAATTTAACAACGAGTTAACACAATTATAAATCTGAAACAAATTGAATAACAGTTATGATATAATTATTTTTTATATTATATATTTGATATATTTTTGATATGATTATATTTTATTTAGATATACATTGGATGTCGAGATGAAACAAAAGCCCAGACAGCAATCCGTGACATCAAAGTCCGGAATCCAAAGGCAAACATAAAACAATTAAAACTTGATTTATGTTCACTCAAATCCGTGAGAGATTTTGCCAAAAATTTATCACAATTTGAAACACAATTAGATATACTTATTAATAATGCGGGCGTTTTTGGCTGCCCTGAAGGCCGCACTCATGAGGGCTTTGAACTTCATTTTGGGATTAATTATTTAAGTTTGTATTAAATGAAAATTTTTACAAATAATTACACTAAAAATTTAACCCATATAATTTTAGGTCACTTTCTATTAACATTGCATTTATTACCACTTATGAGAGTCTCACCAAAAGCAAGAGTAATCAATGTGGCCGCCGGTGGCTACGGGTTAGGCAAAGTTAATTTTACCAACATTAACCTGCGAAACGGAGTGTACAATAGGCTAGACGGTTATAATAATAGTAAATTGTGTCAGGTGCTATTCAATCGGGAACTGGCCAGGCGCTTGAATAATATCCACATAAACACATATAGCCTAAATCCGGGAGCCATTGATACGGACATTAAGAGACATACAGTTAACTCGAGTTTCATTAGCCGACTGGTGCTCATGAGCCCAGAATTGGGCTCTCAAACAACACTGTACTGCGCTCTCGAGAATGCGCTCGACAATGAGTCTGGTTTTCATTATGAGTAATTTATTTACTAAATTTTAAGTGACATTTTAAATGTTAAATGTATATTGTTTTTTTTAACTCGTTTAGTAATTGCCGTCGTGTTAAACATATGGCACCGAACGGTACGGACAATGCCGTCGCCGGCAAACTCTGGGATCTGAGCGTTCAATTGGTTCAACTCGAGCCAGAGTTTAGGATTTAAATTAATTACAATATTGTTATTAATAGTAGATGTTACCATGTTTTGCATTTTTGTACTTAAAATTTAATAATAAAACTGTTAATATTTTTATTAAAATTAAATATTAATTTACTTTAATCATGATGCTAGCAATTATGATATACTGTAACTTATCATAGTAAAATATATAATACAAGCACATTAACTCTGGACATACTTTGGCTTAATACTAGAATTCATTGAAAACAACCTTTCCTTCCACTCGTCGGGCAAATATTTGAGTAAATCAAACACCCGTTGAGTCCAGCCATCAGTCGGCGAATACCGGCGTTTAGGGCTAATATTAGTGATGGCATCGACCATATCGTCCACCACTACATCCGTGTTTGAGCTCAAGAAACTCGAGCTCAATAGTGATGACAAACCCTTATTCAGTGTCTCGTAAAACTCGAGTCCATACACATCCCGTACCGATTGGTCAGTTTGTGCCCAACTGGTGGCCATTGATCGCACCGCCAGACCAATGATGGGCGTCTTGAAGGCCGACGGCTCTATTGTGGACACATTGATCCCGAAAGGGCTCATCTCTTGCCGGAGAGCGTCGGCCAGCGCTGAAACCGCGAACTTTGACATCGCGTAGACGGCGCTCGAGGCCGTTGCCGACCGGCCGGAAATACTGCTCGTGAACACTACCCGACCTATATTTATAGCATAAAAATGTTATCTAGATTATTCCATAATAATGCGAATAATTAATTTTAAGTCTAATGATAGAGGTTTAGGCTTGCCAACTCGTCAAGGTTTGCCTTGATTTTCAAGGAATGGGGGTTTTGTCAAGGTGTAAGGCGAGGGTCTTTCCTTGACATTGTAATGTCAAGGAATGCGAAAATCAAAAGTTGTTCACTTTATTGATTCTGTATGTAAACATTTCATGTAACTTTACTAACTAACTAATTTGTAACTTCATTCATTTGATAATAAACACAATACAATAATGTATAAAGTAAGTAAATTTAAAAAATAAAAATATTTAAAATAACTAATTTTGTTTAGAAAACATGGACAAATATTAAATAATATATTAATGTAAATTTCATCAAAAACCACTAAAAACTTCCTTTAAAATCTGCAATAAAAATGTTGGTCAAGGAAATGTCAAGGCGAATTCTTGAAATTTTTTAATTTTCAAGGAATGTATCGGATTGAGTTGGCAAGCCTATAGAGGTTAGAGAATAATTGTTTATAAGAAAACTATCATGATAGAAAGTATGGTTATGTACAGTAACCGGCACTTGCTCATAATTTCAACTAAAACTCTATGTAAACTAAATGCAATGAGTATACCTGGGAACATGCAATGCCGGTTGTAGGTTATGTATTTTAATAAATTATACCTTAATGAGATATTAGTTTTGAGTATTCTTTTAATTAGTATTTAGTGTACAGTATAGTTATTAAACATCATAGCTATTAAACATACCCTTTGTAGGTCGTAACAGTGGCAAAAATGTTCTGGTCACTCTACCCACACCAAACACGTTAATGTCAAACACCCGGTGCCACTCGTCCATCGATCCCCACTCGACGTAAGCCGACGAACAGACACCGGCGTTGTTCACCACTGACCACAACTGGTGGTCAGTATCCATGAGATCGCGTTGGATGTGCGCAAAGCACCGGTCGATTTGGGTAGCATTTGTTACGTTCACTTCAATGGTGACCATATTATGCGGGAATTTACTGTTTGTCCGCAATTCCTGAGCTCCGGTACTCTCTGTGTCCAAAACACACGCATAGACTCGGAATCCCATTGAGTTTAACCGAAACGCCAAAGCATTACCGAAACCCGAATCGCAGCCTATGTTTAGTAATTATTTTAATCAAAACTTTTGATTTAATTAAATAAAAAATATAACAATAATTTCTTACCGGTGATTAAAACAGCCTTTTTATAAGAATTAATGTAGCGCTTAGTTTTAAATTTATATATACATTTAACTATTATATAATTGACTAACATAAAAAACATTAATCTAGGTATGAAGTCAACATACTCATACAAAACAGAATAAATATTTAAAAAATTGTGAATTATATTAAACATTTTGTATTAAAAAATAACAATACTTTTTCAAATGCAAATAAATATACTAGATCAACTTGCTTTATTTATATGATTCAAATTTATCATAACTTTTGTACTAAAGTTGTTTATTTAGATAATGAGGGCATAATATTTAACCAATTGTATAAATTCTATATATCAGCATGTTACAAAAGAAGTTTTAAATAGATACTTCTTATTTGATCATATCTAGTGCACAGTATTGTTTAATGTAATAGCATTTAAAATTAACACATATCTTATCTCTCTCAACATAACATCAATAGATTAATAAAAACCAATAGCAGTTGCATTAACCTTGGTACTACAATTATATGTTAGTTTTCTAATATTATTCATCACAGTCCTTAATGCACTGAATTTTAAAATATAAAAATTATGATATTGTTTCATTGCAATTAATAAACAAAATTATATACTTTATACAATTATGAATATAGTAAATTTATTTCGATTAATTTGTATAGTTTTCTATGAATTTGGTACAAATCTTTTCGGTCTAAGGCGTAAAGTGACCAGTGGTCGAAGACTTGATGGCAAAGTAGTGGTGATCACCGGCGCTAACACTGGTATTGGCAAAGAAACAGCATATCTACTGTCATTACGAGGGGCTAAGGTTTTAAACATTAATTTAATCTTAATTATTATATTATTATATTATTTAATGAAAATAATTTATTTTATAAAGATAATACAAATTAGAATAATTTATCAATTATATTTTTATTATTTATCTAAAATAAATCATATTTTATTTTAATATTATTATTATCGAGTTAATTTTCGTTTACAAAATATTAGTTTGTTTTGTATAAGCTAACTTAATTATGGCATTAAATTTTGTTTTGCTAAACAGATATACATTGGATGTCGTGATATAAAAAAGGGAGAAACAGCTATTCAGGAGATCAAAGCTCGTAATCCGGACTCAAATCTCACACTTTTTAAATTGGATTTATCGTCATTAAAATCGGTCCGATTTTTCGCTAATCAAATTAAAAACGCCGAAAAAACTGTAGATTTACTTATAAATAATGCCGGAGTAATGGCCTGTCCTCCCAGTGTTAGCGCTGAAGGCTATGAATTACAATTGGCTACCAATCACCTAGGTAGGTTTTAAATAACATGGTATTAATTAAATTAATAATGTTTTATTTACTAAAGGGCATTTTCTATTAACCCTGCATTTACTACCTTTAATGAAACGGTCTAAAAGTGCTCGCATTGTGAATGTATCATCATGCGCACACCTCGTCGGCCAAATTGACCTGGATAATATTAATTTAAAGCATAACGCATATGACCCGTTTAAAGCGTACGCTCAGAGCAAACTGTGCAATGTGCTATTTACCAGAGAACTTGCTAAACGATTACCCGGGTCAAATATTAATGCCTACGCCCTTCATCCGGGTATTATTGATACAGAGATCGCCCGACACGGAAAGCCTGCGAACGGTTTTATGAAACGTTATTTGGTTTTAAACGCATTCATGGGATCCCAGACCACACTCTACTGTATTGGTGTTCAATCTTTTTTAGCATATCACAAGTACAGATTCACAGTGTGCCATAAAAAGGTGGCGCAACGGTCAGTAAAAAAGTTAAGGTTTGTCAGTATTAAACAGGAAACACCGCGTGAATGTCAAGCTAATAGTTTCTCACTTATTTTATAGTGGTTGGCTTTCAGTCTATCCACAAAATGTCATTTTAAAACAAAATTTAATTATTAAATACACATTTTACTTATATTTCTGATATTGTTTGCGATTATCAACAATTTTATTAACATTTGACTCAATCCTATTTGATATGTTCATTCATTCAAATGATTAATAATTTTTAATCCAAACGTTAAAACATAATTTTAATGTTGTGTATGACAATTGGCTTTTCTACTCCAAGTCTCTAATAGAGACTTGATTGAACACGAGTACTCTACTGTGCCGTCGATGAGAGCTTGGATAACGAGTCCGGATATTATTACGAGTTAATTATTTGTCATTTAAATATTTAATTTAATTATAATTACTTTTATTTAATTTTTTTGTTTAGTAATTGTCGTCGCGTTAAGCATATGGTGTCCAACGCCAGGGATGACACCACCGCTCGTCGACTCTGGGAATTGAGCGTCGATTTAGTCAATTTGGAAACGGAGCTCAAGATTTAAGCCTTGTTTTGATTTTGAAAATGTGCCAGAGTCTTCAGTTAATAAAGTACAACAATTCACAATTCTTCACTTATGGACCTAATGTTAATTTTTACAAATACATTATGTATTAAGCAAAATTTATCTAAAAATTCTGTCAAAAGTACAATTAATTGTTTGCAAGAATATTCATTTAATTTTATAAAACTTTGCTATCATGTACTTTGACATTACTAAATAATAGCTAACCCGCCCCCTCTTACCCCCTACCCCTCCAGGAAATCTAGAACTGTGACGTGAGCATATGTTTTAAAATTTCAATGTTTTAATCACGTGTGACAAATAATTGTTTACATAAAAACAACTGTACCCAGATTATAAAAAATATTAATAGTATTTATAAATTATAACGATGTAATTTATTTGACATATTATTAAAACCATCATAATTAAAAGTTATAAATTATTTTAAATGCAATTAAGCGAAATTAATGAATGCCCATGACAATTTCTTAACCTTGACAATTAATAGTGTTATTACAAATAGTAATTTATAAAACATTATTAATTTTACAACACTTTTATGCGCTTATTAGTAGACATTCGTATTTTAAAAATATTACCTTGATTTAAATCTTAAATAATAATGAATAGGCTTGCTATTATAATTACACTAGCCTCTATTATTAGTTATGAACTATCTACTAATCTCCTCGGCCTAAGACGTAGAGTGACCAGTGGTCGACAACTCAATGGCAAAGTAGTGGTGATCACCGGCGCTAACACTGGTATTGGCAAAGAAACAGCATATCTACTGTCATTACGAGGCGCTAAGGTTTGGTAAATTATATTTAAGTTTAATTAATTAATTCCAACATTAAATATAAATTAATAGTGTAAAATAATTAATTTAATTTATTAACAGTAAATACTATATAATTTCTATATTTGAAAATTATTGGTTACTATAAAAAACAAATTGTTGTTAATATACAATATAGATATTTGAACCAATCTCATTTTATTAATCTAGCATTTAATTGCCAACAGATTTACATCGGAAGCCGAGACATAGGAAAGGGAGAAACAGCTGTACAAGACATCAAAGCCCGTAATCCGGACGCAAACATATTTGTATTTCAATTGGATTTATCGTCATTAAAATCAGTCCGAGATTTTGCCCAACAAATTAAAAACAATGAAAAATCAGTGGATTTACTCATAAACAATGCCGGAGTAATGATGTTGCCGTACAATACCAGTGCAGATGGGTATGAATTACAATTGGCTACAAATCACCTAGGTGAGTATTTTATAGCGCTAATTTGAGCATAATAATTTTAATTTTTAACCACAATTCAGTATGAATAATGTGGTTT